TGTGTATGTTAACAACTCTCTAGACAACATGAGATAGCAATAACAAACATGGAATGGGTTAAAATATGGAAAGTGTAGAAATGATCTCAATGAGTGTTCAAATTGTACAAGTTACAGTACTTGTAAAACCTCATTCAGAATATTGTGTACAATTTTTGTCAGCACTTAACAGAAAATATATTGTCAGAATGTGCTTTTAAAACTGAGAATAGAAGAAACTTCTTTAGACAAAGTGTTGTGGAATTATGGTTAAAGTTACTTTGTTATGTTATAAGAAACAGTATTAATATCCTCATATCACTTAGCTGTTTGCAGGCAAAGGACCTAAACAGCCTCCTGTTATTTATACTCTTTTTATATATTCTTAAATATTTTCACACACAAGACACACAAGAACTTGAATTGTTTCAATTAATATGTGAATTAGTCCCTCTGCATATTTTCTTACTATCGATTAATCGAATAATATCCAGAACTATATATACCTGTACATATATTGGTATTTAATGTGTTTTTGAATTTGTTACTTAACACAATGCATACTAACCCTGTTAATTCTGTACTTGCCAGCCAGAAAACTAGAAAACTATAGTGGGCAACTTAATCTGCAGGATTTTTGCAAAAAATATTACTTGCTTGAGTATATTGCTAATACCCATAATATAAGGTAGATATACTGTATGTAAACTATAATGCATTATTGGGAATTCCCAATTATTTTTAATATCAAATGAATGCTTGTCATTAAGCCCCATGAGAATGACATGGTTCCATTTTATCTTTTAATTATGTGTTCCAACCTTCCACATAAAACAGCACGCAGGAAAAGTAAGCTTTCATGATGCTTTCCTCATGATGATTCCTCACATCTCAGTGCATTGCTGTGAATATATATATTTAGCATTCATGTAAAAATGAATGTGATGTTTGACAGTGGGGGTGGGCTTTAACCTCAAAGCTCCGTTTACTTTTTAATGTTAATACATATAAAATAATCATACTGGAGCATTTAAATTAGGTCTTGCTAGCATAAATGTGTTCAATATTTTCATAAAATATCAGTGTCACCATGAGTAACTTACAGGCTGTAGATATTGGTATCGGTTAGAAGTCCTGAATTAATCCATCCATTTTGCTTTATCCAATACAACCAACGAGCACAAGGTGAGAAACTCTCTGGACAGGAAGCCAGTCCATCAGGCAGGAACATACACACTCATAGCAGTTTTCCCAGAAGCCAATTGACCTACAGTACCAGTATGTTTTTGGAGTGTGGGAGGAAACTGGAGCACACAGAGGAAACTCATGCAAAGACGTGGAGAACACAAACACCCTGCACAAGATAGCACCAGGTCCAGAATTCAACCCAGGACCCCAGCGCTTTACTACCATGCTGCCCTCATGCTAATTATTTCTTCTAATGCAAATATACTTAAGCATATGTATAATTTGAAAATATAAAACAACTTTCCAGTCCCCGAAAATGTGAGGCAACCCCACAGCATATACAGTATAGTATCTCTCTCTACCTGTTAGTAGAGATGGTTGACTAGTTGATTAAATATGTTGGGTTTGCAAAACATTGCACTATTACTACTAATAACAACAATCCTTACACTTACAGTATATAGTGCTTTTCTAGACACTCTACTTAAAGCGCTTTACAGGTAATGGGGACTCCCCAATGTGTAGCTCCACCTGGATGATTTGGTGGCAGTCAGTGTGCGCCAGCATGATGAGCACACATCTGCGGTCACTGGGGAGGGGAGGGAGTAAAGAAGCCAATGGATTATTAGGAGGCCATGATTGATAAAATAGATAGATAATACTTTATTAATCCCGTAGGGAAATGTATGATGTCAATTCATGAAATCAGAGGGAAATCTGGCCAGGACACCAGGGTAACACCCCTAATCAGTTCAAGAAAGCCCCTGGGATTTTTAATTACCACAGAGAGTCAGAACATCGTTTTTTGTTTAATCTGAAAGCTGGCGCCTTTTTTACAGTATAGTTTCCCCATCACTCTACTGCAGTTAAGAGTTCAAATCTTCTCTCATCTGCTGACATATTCAACAGATATTTGCAGTATCGTATAAGTGCTTTATTACAAACTCCATGTGGGAATTAAGATGGGTCTGTTTTAATAATAATAATTGCTAACACTTATATAGCGCTTTTCTGGACACTCCACTCAAAGCGCTTTACAGATAATGGGAACTCCCCTCCACCACCACCAATGTGCAGCATCCACCTGGATGATGCGACAGCAGCCATAGTGCGCCAGAACGCTCACCACACATCAGCTATCAGTGGGGAGGAGAGCAGAGTAATAAAGCCAATTCATAGATGGGGATTATTAGGGGGCCATGGTTGGTAAGGGCCAATGGGAAATTTGGCCAGGACACCGGAGTTGCACTACTCTTTTCGAGAAACGCCCTGGGATTTTTAATGACCACAGAGAGTCAGGACCTCTGTTTTACGTCTCATCCGCAGGACGGCGCTTGTTTACAGTATAGTGTCCCCGTCACTGTACTGGGGCATTAGGACTCACATAGACTGCAGTGTGAGCACCCCCTGTTGGCCCCACCCTTCCAGCAGCAACCTTAGTTTTTCCCAGGAGGTCTTCCATCCAGGTACTGACCAGGCTCACACTTGCTTAGCTTCAGTGGGTTACCAGTTGTGAGTTGCAGGGTGATATGGCTGCTGGCTATGTATATATGGCTGCCGGCTTAATGAGCTGATTCATGGCCAGTGCCTCCCATCTTAGCCATTGAGCTAAGTAGTTAGCCATTGCAGTTCTTCCAAAGTCACTGGTGGCTTCAAAGTGCAATCTCTTACCAGTTATGTCCTTGTCTATAGCCTGGGTGCTAAGTTTGAAGGTACAACCTGATCTCCGGCAGTGTTTGAGTAGAACAATACAGCTTCCATTTCTTAATGATCATCTATACAGTTCCCAGTGGAATATTCCATGTCTTTGAAAGTGTTTTATACTCTTCGCCTAATTTGTGCCTTTCTACAGCTTTACCTGAGTTGTTTTGAAAGCTCCTTGGTCCTCCTTCATGGTTGAATCTTTACATGAAATTCACTGACTGAGGGACTTTAAAGAGATCTAACCACTATCTACTAATATCCACTATTGTTGCATACAGACATCTTAACTGTGCAACTCAAAGCAATTTTGTACCCCTGAACTAAATTACTGTAGGTCTACCATAGTAAGGAAGATTAAAATCTTATGCAATCAAAATATTTTAGTTCTTTTGTTTTTTTGTTGGTATTTGCTGCAATTTGACTTCTTTCACCCATACAATGGCTCAGTTTTGTGTTAAAATATTCATTTTAAAAATGTGTGTACTTCTTTTGCATTGCATGAATAAGGAAAACCGCTGAAAGGGGGGTGAATACTGTAGATACCAGTATCCATAGGTGCTGTTTTTAACTCTGAAGCACAGACTTCCAAACTGCATTTTAATATAGCGAAGCTCTACAAAGACCTTTGTACAAAAAGATTTAGACACAATTTAAGACTGTGGAGACATGTATAATGCATTGCATATGCATTTGCAAAGACATGTACAGTATGTGCAAATGTATAAACTAGTGTATACGAGTATAAAGAAATACTTTTTTCCAAACAAAAATAGACAGATTTTGAAGTCAGCAGAAGGAACATTGTTATTATTATTTGCTTAGTAGATGCCCTTTTCCACCTCAACTTACTATTTATATATGAAGCTTACATTAAGATAATAAAGAGGTCATGCTTTCTTTAGACCCCTCACTTTAGACCAGGGCTCCTCAACACATTTAATCTTCTGGTTTTTGTTCCACATAGCTTGTCTAATTATTTACAGTTGCAGAATTGTAATACTTCTAGCGAAGCTCATAGAGGAGATATATGTAACCATACCCATAATGAAGACCCTAAGAAAGATACTCAATGGGTGGCAGGAGTCTGGAACAAACTGCCAGCCATTTAATGGAAGCCAGTTCCCTTACAAACTCAAGACAAGAAGTGGCTGGAAGAGAACCTCCGATCAATAAGCTACTTAGAAAACAAATAAGCATGGCGAGTTAAATGGCCTGCTCTCCTTTCATTCTCATGTTCTGTGCTTTCACTTGATTTGAAAGAGAAGGTTTAGCAGAACAAAGGCATTGTGCTGGTAGAATCATTGTAATCCCCAATCTCTTGGTGCAAATAGATTGATTTGCTATTACTGCTGAAAGATAATCTACGTGGGCCTTTAGCTGGAAGTCAATATTGCCATCCAGTTGGAATTGGGGTCTATTAATGCTGGTCAATGTGACTCTCAAGGCCAGCGTAAGCATCATTTGTTTACATTAAGTTAGAAGCTTTAAAAGATACACCTTGGGACGCATAAATCCTATACCTGCCTCATAGCACTGGTTGGCCTTAGAGAGAAGCTATAAGGCCATTTATTGGAGCATTTATATACACTGGAAAGAGGTTCCCAGTTCTCTGTAGAGTGAAAGTATAAAAAATGATAACATAACAATAATTCTAAGATTCAGGGGGATATGGAGATAATTGTGGAGAAGCTGTACTGATGTACTGTGCAAGGCTGTAATTTTATACACCTTGGAATATTAATCATACAGAAATGTTAAATTGTGACTTGTCTGTACTGGGGAATGTCTTAAATGTGTAAGTGGCAGTTTCAGCACAGCATACAGCATCACTTCATTGATGATGCCAGTTTCTGAACCTAAAAGCCTGGAGCCTATTTTTTTCTGCTATAGATGCTGAAGATGCTATAGTATTGATAATTGTAATAGTGGCAAGTTGTCAGTGGCTGCCAAGATTGAATAGTAATCTGTGTACACTTTAACTTGCGAAAATAGTTTGGTGTTGGAGTACTGTTTATTCTAGTTTATTACAAAATTGTTATTCTGAACAAATGTAGAAATTACATACAATGTGTATAACATAAAACTGCTGCAAGTATCATGTTGAGAAGGTCAATTCGTTTGTTTTATAGGTATTTCCACACTATATACCTTGGCATACGGAGCCGTCGGAGTGGAGATCATGACCGGTGGCGCTTTTATTGGAAAATGGTGTACGAATATGCGGACGTCAGTATGCTGCATTTGTTGGCCACCTTTCTAGAGAGTGCTCCCCAGCTTGTTCTGCAGCTCTGCATCATCATCCAGACCCGCAGGTTACAGGCAATCCAAGGTAAGAATAATGTGTATCAGCTCTTCCACAACACATACACCTCAGCTTTCTTAAAGATTGATTTTCAATTATAATGCAGCGCTTTCCCCTATAAATAAGTTTGGTTATTTACAGGGGAAAGATTGTGGTTTGTTTTAGTTGATTATACACATTCTGCATTTTAAACAACCTACTGTAGAAATTTGGAATTTGACATTTGGAACCTACTGGGATTTGGAATGAACTCGATTGCTTATAATGAAAGGCATCGACACCAGATATGTTTCTTAAATGAACTCAAAACAGTGTTTCAGTAAGCACTCTTGTGGTATTTTTTTTTTTGGTTAACCACTATGTTTCCTTAACAAATGTGAGATAGTCCCTGGGAACCACTGACAGTGGGGCTCAAAGGAAGACCACAAAGACACTGACTAAATTGGTTGACTATATTAAATCTGGAATCAGAAATTGTAGTGTTAATGGATTGGGATGTTGGACATGTTGATGGCACAGTACCTCCAGGAAGGTTAGAAAAGATCTGATACTATGTAAGCAAGTTATAAGTAGGTGCCCAAGCGTGTTAGTTTTCGGTTTGTTTCATTTTGTTTTTGTAAGTTACATAAAACCAGGAATCTATCTGTACCTTTAATTCCCAAGGAGTAGAATAGGTTATAAGCCAACACACAGTGTGCACTGCTGCTGAGCCAACGTGCATCTTCGGCGACTGCACTCACACACAGCACGCACCACTGCTCAGTTATGCTGCATCTCCAGTGACTGCTCGGTCATGCTGCATCTCTGGCAGCTACACTCACACAACAC